TTTTTTTTTTTAGATTTTAGTTTTTACTTTACACAGTAGTGAACAGGAATCACAGTATACAGGTTACTGTGTTTCCATGAAAAGCATGGATAATATAGAACAGACTTCATTACCAATTAGAATTTATTTTCCTTCTAGAAAAATGATTAGGCTTCATTTGTTTTTTCTTCAGATACTTGCTCGCTGTTCTCGCTGACTTTCTGTTCTAAGCTGCTTGCTTGACTCACAGCTCCATCATCCTTCACTGGACCTTCAGTTTTTGCTTCCTCTCTCTCATTCTCTGCTTCTTCTTCCTCTTCTTCTTCTGCCTCTTCTTCCTCCTCCTCCTCTTCCTCATCTCCCTGGGGTTTTTCACATTCCTTTTCCTCCTGTAATTCTTCCATCTCTTTATCCTCCTCCTCCTCTTCCTCTTTTTCACTGTCTTCATCCTCTTCTCTTGTCAAACTCTCTCTCTCATCTGAGTCGACCTGTGAGGGAGATGCCTGAGCGCCAACGTGCTCATTCGTCAGGACCTCTGGCCCTGCCTCTTCCTGCTCTGCGCCATCTCGTTCTTCTGCTTCTCTCTTGCAATATGAATAGCGGTGATTCATGTGTTGAGAATAAGATCCCGAGTGTGAGAAGCGCTTTCCACACTTGTCACATTGATAGGGCTTTTCTCCAGAATGCAATCGCATGTGTTCAATCAAATGATGTTTGTGTTTAAATGCCTTTTTACAGATTCCACACTCATGAGGTCTTTTACCTGCAAGAAAGAACAAAGTTATGAAATCAAATGGTGATATTAATAGTTTTTGTAAGTGTTGGGAGCACTTTAGGTTGTGGGAAGGGGAGGGCTATAGTTTCAGGTTTTAAAAACTTCCAGGTCCCAAACTGTTTTTTCTGTATAATGTTAATCTGGTTTGTCATTCATACAAGAAAATTTAGTGTCATCATTTAGTGTCAGAATTTAGTCTCATCTCTGAGAAGGTCAATATGAAATACATAAGATTGAAATTCTAAACATGCAAACATCACATCATGACCATAATATATAAAGAATATGTGAACATGGGATGTGAAAACATGGAATATGAAGCTCTAATTCGATATTTGGCAATGAACACTCTGAGAGCAAGGAGGGACAGAGGCATTTCTCAACTTGGTTTTTCTTTACTTTCCTTCTTAAGGACCCTTTTCAACTTCTTTTTCCTTGTCAAAACCTTTGTCCGAATTAAATTTTAATGCATCATATAAGCTTTTTATATATGCCAAAACTAATATATATGAGTTTTGGCATATATTTATACATATATATATATATATATATATATATATATATATACATACGCATACAAACACGGTTGATACACTGAGGTCCTTGAGAAAACCACAACTTATTATAATATCTAACCCTTTTTTGCCCCTTGAGGGCAACTTTGCCCCTATTGAAAATGCATGAACTTGAGAAATGCTACTGCCCAGACATGAAAAAAACTGACAACTGGATTATAATCAGGACTAATAAAGTCAAACTTCAGTGCTATCAAGCCATAACACTAACAAATGTAGAAATGATTTGTTTTTATAGCATATTTCTCAAATATATTTTTCATTTTGTTATATACTAATATTTAACTCTTGTCCAAAGCAGATTTTCTAATTTTCCTCGGGTCTCACTGAAAACAACTAGAGAAAAGTTTAACAAGGGGCTTGTTGTGTGAGAGAGGTATCCCTTATGTAATACTAGTTTTTAACTCTAAGAACTGCTCGAATGTCACTGATGTATTTTTGAATCTACAGTCTAAAGAACGGAAAACAGTTCTTGATATCTTTTCACTAATTAGCATACTTGATAAGAATATGAAAGATAAATATAGAATCTAAACCACATAAAGTGAGGGAGGGGAAAAAGAAAAGTTCAGTAGATTGGACAAAGGGGAATGAGGGAAGGGATGGGGGATAGAAATAGACGAGACAGTAGAATGGATCTAACATAATTTTCCAATGTACATATATGAAAAAACCTAAATGAATTCCACTATCATGTACACTCACAAAGATAGGATCCTAATTAGAATAAGATACATTCTATGCTTGTATAATTATACTACAATGGATTTTATTGTCATGAATAACTAAAAAGAACCAATAAAAAATAAATCCTAAAATTTACAAATATAGAGTAATTTGGAGTTATTTTTCTCAGTACATTTACATTTATTCCTGAAAGAATGAGTCACATCAAGCAGACTGCCACATATGACTATAAATTATAATCACAGGATGCTAATATTTAAATATTTTTTAATCATGAAATATTTGAAATATACAATCAAAAGAGTTTATGTGAAACAGATGTGTTATGGATGTATCTGTAATAAGGATGTATCCCTCTATGCTTAATGTAAATTTTTATAATAAACTGATGTTGACTTTCAAAAAAAATATGGATACTATAGTCAAAAAGGCAGGTAGAGGGGCAGAGAAGGCAGAGGATTATAGAGCTCATGATAAATCCAGTTCTTTCTACAGCAATCTGTTCTAAAAAGGAAGAGTGGAGTGATACATTTGGCTAGAAGGAATCTATTGGCAAATTTTTAGGAATTCTGCAACGTAATTTAAAACAGATTCAAGACTGAAATCAGCCATGGTGAGAATATTTAGATCACAGAAATCTGCAAGCACTACACATCCAAAGGCTTCCCTAACCCTTCAGAGAACCAGTTGTTAAATAGCAGTTACCAGAACTCCACTGGATGAGAGGAAGTGGCTGGGCCAGGAGTTGGTAAATTTTTTTTTCTGCAAAAGTTACACAGTAAATACTTTAGGCTTTGCTGGCCAAATGGTCCCTGTTACAGCTATTCAATTCCACCGTTATAGATGCAGGAGAGTGGTCATAGACAACGTGAATGAATGGGTATGGCTATGTTCCAATACAATTATATTTAGGAATGTTATAATTTGACTTTTACATTATTTTCACATGCCATAAATATTATTCTTCTTTTCATTTGTTTCAATCATTAAAAAAGATATTAAAAATTTCTTAGTGGGACATAGAAAACAGAGGCCCACAACCTGGCCTGTGAATCATAGTTTGCCAATCCCAGAGTTAGTCCAAGAAGCGTATTTTGTGGAAGAATTATAGAATTTTAGAGTTGGAAGGGATCTTAGAATCATCATGTCCAATTTATTATACAGAAGTTATCCTAAAATAAAAGATGTACCTGAAACAATGACTTTCTAAGACAGCAATGCTGAGTGCGCTCATGAAGCATCTTTGTCTCCTATGAAGTCTGATTCCATCTCCCTGTAACTTTCCCCACTGGTCCCATAATTTTATTAATGGCTACTGTATTTATATTTATATAGTATACACTTGCCATTAGTGGATGTAGACAAAATAATTGTGTATATCATATCACAAGCACTTTTAAAAAGGACAGCATATTTTGTGTTCACTAACCTACCTGTGTGTTCATATTTATGTCTCAACAATGAGCTACTCTTCTGAAATATCTTATCACATAAGTCACAGGCATACATTCCATTTTCTGTCTTCCGCATTTTCTTTTTGGGTGGTGTAGAATCAGAGTCATTCTGATCCTCCACATTGGATACTCCTTCTGAGCTAGTGTCTTGCCTTTCATCCTAAGGGGGAGGGTGAAAAGTAAGATTAAATTTCAAATTAAAAGACAAACAAGAGATAAACAAAGCCTGGGTTAAAAAAAATTCTTTAAATTAAACTTTCAACAAACTGTCCACAGCAAACGTACTGCTCATCACTGTAGATGGGTCACAAGGGTGAGGGCTAGACTGTGGGGGATGGGGGTTGATAAAGACAAAAGCGATGTTGGAGATAAAACAGCCAAACCACAGCAAAACCCATATGCTCAACTGGTACTGAAAAGAAAGGACCCCCAAAAGAAAATGTAAAATGGGTGGCAATATTTACTTGGTTCCATGTAAATCATTACTTTTATGATAGTTTTAGCTTATGAGTTTGCTAATTAATAATTAATTTCTAACTGCTCTTTTTACTGTTTTTAAATTATGGGTTTCACTAAGCATAAATTAAGAATTAGTTTTTAAAAAGTGGCTTTTAAATTTTACCCTCTAGAACTTGTAGAGATCTCTGAACTAGTCTCTGTGGTCTCCTTGAAAAGAGAAGCTTGCTCTATACTTTTTTGAAGCAAGAAAACAAGACACTTCTCAAAAGAAGAAATACAAATGGTCAACAACTATATTAAAAAATGTCCAAAATTTCTAGCTTAGAGAAATAAAATTAAAATTACACTGAGATTTCATCTCACTCTAGTCAGAATGGCTATGATTAAAAATATTAGTAACAAAAAGTGTTGCTGAGGATGTAAAGAAAAGGTACATGCATACATTACTGGTGGGACTACAAACTGATCTAACCACTATGGAAAGCAGTATGGAGATTCCTCAGAAAACTAGCTATGGAACCACCATATGACTCACCTATCCCACTCCTCAGTATATATCCAAAGGATTAGAATCAGCATGCTACAGTGACATAGCTACCCTATCAATGTTTATAGCAACACAATTTATAATAGCTAAGCTATGGTACCCTTCAACAGATGAATGGAGAAAGAAAATTTGGTATATAAACACAATGCAGTATTACTCAACCACAAAGAAGAATGACTTTATAGCATTTGCCAGTAAAAGGATAGAACTGGAGGTTATCATGCTAAGTGAAATAAGCCAGTCCCCCCAAAAACCAAAAATCAAAAAGTTTTCTCTGATATGTGGAAGTCAATTCAAAATAAGGTGGGGGGTGGTTAAAAAAAAAAGAACAGAAGAAAGATTAGCAGAGTAGACAAAGGATAATGAAGGGAAGGGATATGGGATAGGACTGGGAAAGACAGTGGAATGAATCTGACCTAACTTTCATGTATACATACATGAATACACTACAGTGAATCTCACTATCATATACATCCACAATATTAGTAAAATGAAGGGAACAGGGGGAGAGAAAGAAGAGCGGAAGGAAAGAGGAAGTACTGAGTACTGAATAAGAATAAATTATATTTCATGCTTTTATAAGTATGTCAAAATGAATCCTATATATATATATACTAAAAAGAACCAATAAAAATACAGAACAACTGGATAGAGCTTATATTTTTAAACAGTAGTACTTGCTAGACAAAAAGAATCTAAATTTCTGCAGCATAAAAATATTCAGGCAGATAATTTTGAGCAGAAGTTTTTCTAGATGATAGGATCATACTACAGGGAGCCTGTTGAAGAATTAATTTGGCTAAGATCTTTGTGCTTTTCCTAGGGTCTTCCATTCTATTTTCTCTAAATCCACAAATTTCCTAAAAGTTAAAAAGTATTATACATTGCTTATGGCTTTGTGAGGCATGAGAGGTGCAGCCATTTGCCTGGATCATTTGTGAGCTGCCAATGGTTGCTGTGGTAACTCCACTTTCATTAGTATTTGATCTTGACATATGATTACATGAGATGTTAAAAGTGACTCTTTGTTCTATTCAAAAGGGTACAAAATGTTCTATACACTAAAAATTTAGATGAATTCACTGGTCATGTGGAAATTGTTTTTTAAGAGTTGTAATTTCAGGAAACCCAATCTGGCAATACTTAAGGGGAAAAAAAGCAGCAAATATACATTTGAGCAGGATGTTGAAATTATTATAGTTGGTATCTACTCATAGAAAGTATCTGCATTAAATATCATTCATCTCTTGTATTTGATTCAATCTAACAATGATTGAAAAAAAAGGTGGGAGAGATTTAAGGTTAGTTACACAGAAAAATCCTGCACAATAAGACACAACAGAGCTCTATCCAAAACTATCATGAACTTCTCAAGAAAATTAAAGAGAAAAATACATATATAGATTCACAGCCTTATTTATTCACAGTCATATATTAATTATGACTGAACCTTTTTTATTCATGGCTCATAAAATGATCAGTAAACACACCAGATGAGTTCTGTGCTTAATTAAAGCTTTTCATAAACAGAGGTGTTATTACATAAAAACTGATGGCTAAGTCTGGTGTGAACATATTTTCATTTATTAACAATCATAATCAAGGCAGAAACTAATACTAATTTTGAGAATTTAAGTACAAAAACAGAAATCCAATTAATGAGCATTCTGATTTTTCTTTTCTCTTTGTTTCTAACTTCAAATAGGTCTCTAATTATGATATATAAGTCATTTTTCACAGTAGAGTAACACAAACTTTAGTTGATACCAGAACCTGCATTAGTAATTGAAGACTTGTCACAAAAGTTACTGCAAACTTAATGTAGACTTATTTCTCTTTAGAAACAACTTGACTCTACAGTGACAGATTTTTTTTTTAATTAGAAAAAGTTAACTGAAATTAGTCAAGCTAACATTTTGCCAACCAGGTTAAGGAAATTCTTTTTCTCTTTTTACCTGATTTCCACTTGGCTGGACCACTTTCAGGGCTGGTTCCTGGACTGCAGGGCTGACTGTAGCTGAGTATGTATAAGCCACCTGGGGAATCAGAATAGTTTGCTTATTGGCAGCTAGTGCTCGTAAGCATGGAACACTGTTCTGGTCAGCAATGGCCACGATTGTGGGTAATTGGGCAGTGACTGTAGGTATAGCAATATTTATGGGGTTGGCACTTGGTGGGATTACATTTACAACTGGTTCTGAGTCTGTAACACAATTGTCCTTTTGTGGCTCCTTTTTTGCACAAGACAAGTTCAAGGGTTCTTCTTGGACAGAATAAACACTGTTCTGGTAAACACTAGTGATAGTTGACCTTTCCAATAATTCTCCCTGTTGCTTTGGTAGTGAAAGATCAAGAGGTTCTACTTGTGGCTCTTCTTGTGCGCCCTCTGCTGCGTATGAGTAACCCTGTGTATTTCTGGCTGAGGAAAGGTTTAGAGGTGATGGGGATGGTGTACTACTTCTGGAACCATTGACAGTTGATCCTACTGTTAAAACTGGAGAATTAGTCATCTTCGGAGGACTATGTAGACTTGTGCTGTCCTGGGATTCATTTTCATTTGTGGGTTGAGACAGATCATCATTCTTTGCAAGGATATTTACTTTGCCTGGTTCAGGAGAAGATGGTTCAGAACACTGCACTGAAATCTGTCCAGCTTGCATTTTTTCAAACCACTTTTTTACTACATCCAGTGGTAGATTTACAGAATCAGCAATTTTTGAGAGCTCTTCTGCACTTGGTTGTGCATTCAAAGCATAATAGGCTTTTAGGAGAGACAGGAGGTTCTTCAAAGGTGGCTGACTAGGAGACAAACTGCCATCTCCGGTACCTGATGAAACAGAGGATTCAGGCTTCTCAGCTTCTGGGGCAGGGAGTGGAGGCTGAGCTGGCTGCTTTAGGTCATAGTGCTTTAATTCTGGAAGTGCATTAAGATCACCTGGACAATCATCACACAGAAGACAAGTGCTATCATTCACTCCTCCTTCAAAGCTTTTATCTTTCTCAGATTTAACAGTAAGATCTTCTGGCAACTTTTCGCTTTTGCAATTGTTTGTGGGGACTGGATTTTCTTTTTTTAAATTTTGAGGAACAACTTGAAGTTGGCTAGGCTGCTCAAGACTGTAGTTGATGATAATTTTGGTTGTTCCATCTTGATCAACCAAAGGAAGACTGATGGCTGAAATAACAGAATGGCCACCTTGTTGTATAGATGAAGCATTGATTGTTTCTTGTTCTTTGGATGCAAGATTGGCTTGATTATTCTCCAAAACTTGCCTTATTACATTACCATCTACTGCCACTTTAAGTACATTCTGAATATCACTTAAATTGATACTTATGGGAGATACCAAACCAACTGTTGGCAGAACAACAGCTTGCACCACACCCTGAGGAGAACTGGTTGCCTGTAATGGGCCACCACCACTAAAAACCCCATTTTGTAAAGGGGTTGAACAGTTGATTCCTGAAGCAACCACTATGGGTTTGAACTCATAATCCACAGGTTCAGTTTTAATTTGGTTTACTGAAAGTTGTTCTTGAAGGGGTTTATTCTCTATTTTTTGCCGTATCTGTGGTCGTGTGGGACTGCCTGGTGATGCCGAAAGAGATGGTGAGGAACACTGAGATGTCTTGAGACCTGTTCTTGGTCGCCCATTCACAGGCATCAAGCTGATACATTTCTTACTGCTTATATGAGAGCTATAGGAACCAGAATGGGAAAAACGTTTCTTGCAGTTTGGGCATTCATATGGCTTCTCTCCTAAACAAACAACAAACAAACAATTTATATGCGTAGTCAATTATTACATATACATTTTTATGTATCCAAATTTTCTCTATAGCAAGAAATATCAAGTTTAAAAAGGAAGATTACCATGTATTTTTTTTGTACTGGGGATTGAACCCAGGGGTGTTTAATTACTAAGCCACATCCCCAGCCTCTTTTTAAATTTTATTTAGAGACAGGGTCTCACTGAGTTGCTTACAGCTTTGCTAAGTTGATGAGACTGGCTTTGAACTCACAATCTTCCTGCCTCAGCCTCCAGGGCTGCTGGGATTATAGGCGTGTGCCTCCATGCCTGGCGCCATGTATTTTATTTAGAATAATCATTTTAAGTTAAGCAATGACATAAATATTATAAACAGTAGTGAAATCTTTTTCTGAACTACATGTGCTAATCAGGGAATCTTCTTAACATGTATGTATATAACATTTTTGCCCTCCTTTAACTTCAAATAATTCTCAAATGTCAAAAATAATTAATTCTACTCTTTCAAGTATCTTTTTTATATCCTGTCTCACCAACCTACATAATTTTCAGTATTTCACTCTACTTAACAACTATATTTAGGATAAGTTAATATTAGAAGAAACAAAAGTAAGTACAATCTCCCATAAGACTATGGATATTTATCCTTGGTTTATAAAATTCCAACATCCATATGGTTTCCTTGAAAATATCCTTCCTCATGGAGGAAAATTTCAATATAAGATATTCTTATAATTACTTATTTATTAAACTGGAATAGATGTATCCCCAAAGATATAAGTTCTAGTGGTACACAAAGTCCATCAGAGTTTCAATTTTAGGGAGTGGTTACAGTAAAACATTATTTGTATATGGAAACAGATTTATAGCAAGGGCAAAATATAACATCTGGATGAATTATCAGGACACATGATGTCAAAGAAATTTCTTGCATGTGGAGACTTCCTTTCGGCTGCTAATATTTTAGACTCTCCAGGGACACAAGGTACTTATTCTCCTTGGTCATCAGAGATACTTGGATAATTTTGAGAAGCACTAAGATAAAAGGAATATCTTCATACAAACCTAACTGTTCATTTTAGTTCAAATTCAGTTCATTAATTTATAATTTATACATTAAAGACTATCAGCTCCAATAAGGTGAGAACCTCTGTCCTGTTTGCCTTTTATCCTTTATATCCATTACAGTATAGCAAAGATACTCATTAAACATTTTTAGGATGAATGATGGTTAACTGTAGAACTATGAAATAATGCCTCCCCAGCATTACAATAAAGCCCCTTATATCCTCTTTTCTTTTTAAATTTTATTTATTTTTCATTATGTATGACAACAGAATGCATTAAATTCTTATTACATATTTAGAGCACAGTTTTTCATAATGTTGTATACAAAGTATATTCACAATCCTCCTTTATTTTTAAGAGTTAACAGGAAAAGCAGTGGAGAAAGTCAGTATAAGCTCTGCTAATGTTTTAAGTGTAATGCTACAACATTAAAACTAGTGAGTTATGTCTTATCAGAAATATAGGTATTTGAGAAATCAGATATTAGAAATGGAAGGGATCTAAGAATCCCTCTAGAAATACTCCTTTCAATAAAGAGTTCCTTTATATTATTTTTGACATCAGTTAGTCTTTGCTAAAGCTCCTTAGTGAAATAAAGGGGAGGATATTGACTATAGGATAGCCCTATGGAAGAAGCCTAGACAGGTTCTGCAGAAGACCACGGATTTGGGTTCAAATTGTGACTCAGACATATATTATTTTCTTAAACTTTCCAAGCTTCAGTATTTTGGTATGTAAATGTAGACACATTTTCACTGGTTATGTTAGAGAGTTATGAAATGCTATAGTAAAACTCTCAGTGTGGCCTTAACAAAGGTTAGTGATTCTTTTAAAATCTACTCAGTCCTCAACTAAACCAAAGTTGGCTTGCTATAATGCATATTTTCTTGACCTAGTTTGCTTTTCTGATGTTACACAAAATAAGTCTAACTTACTCTATTCTATAATAATAATAGCTTCAAATTGATACAGAGCTGCCCTGTGTATCTTCCTGTGTATATTAAATATGTCCAGGTCTTTCAAACAATCCTCACAGGACATGGTTTTCAAAACTCTTACCTGCTGCTAAGCCTACCTCTGAATATTCTGCAGTTTATCAATATCTTTCTAAAGCAATTCCTGAAATAGGATTCTATACTCAAAATGTCATCAGATAAAAAAAGTTTATAATGGGGGTAAAAGAAGAAATATGTTCTAGTATATCTCTATTTTAAATAATCTGATAACAGTTTTAGATGGCCTGCATGAGTATTTTCATATTGAGATATGAGGAAGATAAGCATCCATGATATAGACTATTTTCTTTAAAATAGAGGAAATCAAGAAGTACAGTGGGTAAAGCAATGACAACACAATCAGGATGCTCCCACCAGAGTCCCGACTTTGCCATGTATTAGCTAAGTGACCCTGGACAAGTTAATTAAGTTCTCTGGTCTTCCATTTTCTCATCAACAAAAAGAGAAATAAGGGGAGTGGGAGGATTAAATGAACTCTAGATAGGGAAAAGGGGAAAAGGGAAGAGGGGAAGGGAGGGGGCACAGGGGTAGGAAAGATGGTAGAAGGTGATGGTCATTATTACCCTAAATACACGTATGCAGACATGAAGGATGTGACTATTTTATGTACCAAAGATATGAAAAATTGTGCTCTAATTTTGTAATATGAATTATAATGCATTCTTTTGTCATATATAACAAATTGAAATTTAAAAAAAAGATTAAAAAAGAAATAATAGCATATGTAAGGTCCTAGGTTCAATCCCCTTCCCCCCCCCCCACACGAAATAACAGAATGAACATCTAAGGGTTATTTGAGAACTATAAAAGTTAATGAATACAAATAACTAACAAGTGGCCACACATACTTAAGTATTCAAAAAATGCTAGTTATCATTATTCTTTTTTTTAGTTGTAGTTGGACATTTATTTATTTGTTTTCATGTGGTGCTGAAAATCAAACCCAGTGCCTCACACGTGCTAGACAAGCACTTTACCAATGAGCCATAACCCCAGTCCCTGGTTATCATTATTCTTATTGTTGAGAATTACACTAATACTTTATCGATGTGAGAAAAAGTTTACCCAGTACTTATTTTAAAGCCAAAAGTTTATAATATAGCTTTATAAACCTATCAAAATGAAATGAATCTGAAATAACTTTCCTGTGTACATGTATGAATATATCACAGTAAATCTCACCATTGTGTATATCAATCCATAGAAATTAACTTAAAAAATAACTATGGGTAAATGGCAGAAAGATCAGTAGAGGGAAAGCAGCAGGGTGATGGGGAGGGAAGGGCAAGGAGAGGTACTGGAGACTGAATTAGAATTAAGATATATTCCATGCTTTTATAATTATGACAAAATGGATTCTACCTTCATGTGTAATTAAAAAGAGTTTCATCAGTGCTGTAGTTCTCTTTCCCCTCATGTTGCCTCGCTCACTAACTCTACATCACCTCTGCACGATTTTCTCATCTTGAATTCCATTTCTAACTTCCTTCTATAAAGGCTATCTTCACCTCCTTACTTCCTTCTACAAATCTCAACGCTTTACAAAAGGGGCAATAAAATTCACATTCACAAGAATGATTAAGTAGTCTTAGGTTATATTGGCTAAGACATGACATATTATCTTCTGATTAGGAAATTTGGAGTATGTGTCATTTTATATTAACTCGATATACTTTAGTCAAAGGTTAAATGATAATACAATACCACTTATCAAAAGATAATTTCTCCACATTAGTCTTTATATTAAAAAGAAAAGTAGTTTTTGATGATATATGTAAGATCAAATTAGGATAGATTTATTTATTATCACATGCTGATATTCAGTTTGCAGACATAAAACAAATATTTACCACTGTGAATTCTTAAGTGCTCTTTTAGGTGGTGTTTGTATTTAAAAGCTTTTCCACATTCAGTGCACTTGAATTTACGATTACCCCCAGACTGCGTCACATGTCTCTGTAAGAGAAAATTGGTATTTTATTCGTAAAGCAAAAGAACTTAAGACATAAAGACTATCCAATGTGTTTAAAGTAATATTTTGAGTGAGTCTGATGACTGTTTTGATTCTTAAAGCTCTCAAATTGCAGTCACAAAAATATAACATTTGAAATTATTACCCAAAAGGATGGTGACAGTGGGAACAGAGTTCTGACACAGAGAAAAATGTAGATTAATTTAAAGTATTAGAGCCATACTTAACTAAGCAATATAGTATTGAACAAAAATAAAGTAATATGTACTTTACTAGGAACTAGAGATTATCTTGTTTATATTCTAATTTACAGATAATCAAGTCCACGAATATTTAAGAATCTATCTAAAGCACAGTTACTCAACAGAAGAAAAAGGTACCAAAGAGAAGAAAAGCCTGAGCTTTCACCAGTATTACATCCTCTCTTTTTTTATGTTTGATATTTCCAAAATGTACTTTAATCTGATGGTTTTAAAAAAATATGTCCATTTTTTTCAGCCACATGTGATTATGATAGATTATGATAGCTTTCCTCTTGGTTTCTCAAATTTTCATTTGAATGTATTTCATTTCAGATGTATTCAGTCAGGTACCCTTCAATTCATCTTATGAGAGCACAGTTCTCTACAGACTTGCATCAACAGCTGCTTCTTTGATACTGTCAACTGTAAGGTACTAGGCAGATGAAACCTGATTTACACCAAACTCTTATTAATTTCCCTCCAGAAAATTATCTCCGTCTCTAGCGTCTCCTACCTTTGTGAATAGCAACCTCATTCAGTTATTGCTTAGTCTTGATCTTTGGAATTATCTTTGATTACTCTTCCCCTTAATACCCTGAACCAATCCTTGTAAGCCATCTGAATGTAGATTGAATCCAACATCCTTCACTATGTCATGTCTGCCACACAACCTCCATCCTGGATTATATCAAAACACTAAATATTTCCCCTGCTTCCATTCTTCTCTCTCTTGATCTGTCTCCATCCAATAATCAGTGGTTCCTTAAAAATTAAAAAAAAAATCCAATATCCTTCAAAAGTTTTCCTATCACAATTTAGAATAAAATTAAATCTTTATCTTACCCTGCATAATAGCTTATATCATCTGGCCCCCAGTACTTCTCTGGTTTCACCTATCTTTCTCCCCTTTATTCACACTTATCTCCTTGCTGTTTCTTAGACATGGCAGGCAGTTTAAATTAATATTAAGTTGATCATTGATACATGGTGGCTATAAGGAGCTTGTTAAAAAAGGATAATCAGTCATTGGCTTTAATCCTAAAAACAGAGCCAAGAATTTAAATGTAACTTAAGAGTTACAAAATACTCTTTGTGTATGCTTCTATAAAATGGGACACAATGATACAGAATCAGAACAATCATATGAAAACTGAGTCTTCAGGATAAAAACTATAAACTTTATATTCTTAGAGGAGTTATAGTATCTCACCAGGAAAAAATGAGTCATTTTCTGAGGATTAATAGTCACTGGTTCAAAGAAAATTAATCTTTAAAAATTTATCTTCTCTAATTGGTCATGTAGTTTATTTAACCACTATTTTCCTACACTCAACATTTTAGTAGAATTCAACCATAACCTCGGAGGAGTTTTAGTTATGATATAAGCAAAACAAGGTAAGATCTTACCTGGAAATGAAAACTACAATTATCACTTTCATTTTTATAAGGTTTCAGACAAGACAGTATCTAGTACATCCTTTTCACTTTTAAATATATGAAAATCCTTGCCTTTCACTGAGGGTTGAGTTCCTCAAATTTGGAAAGTTAGTGAACTCTTGGCCATTGCACTTACTTGATCTCTTCCTGACTTATGTGATGTCATGTGACGTTCAAGTTGGGTTCTGTATGCAAAGGTATAACTGCACAGGGAGCAACTAAAATTATCTTCATTCTTCTCATGGCGATACTTAATGTGTTCTTTCAGAGAGGTAAAGCGTTTATAGCCTCTATCACAATACGGGCAGGTGAGTAATTGGGAAAATGCATCTGGTGTTCCTGTAAAAGAAATGACATATTTTAAATTTAAAACATTCAAAAAATATTACCAAAGATAATACTGAGTACATATGCTGTGTACCACATATTGTGCTAACCATTTCATATTTAGTCCTTAAAACAATACAAAAATGCTATCTCTATTTTATAAAGGAAAAAATATGAAGCTAAGAAAAGTTCAATAACTTAAAAGCATGGCTTTTAAGAGAAGTAGTGACAGTCAGGATTCAGGATTCAAGCATAGGCTAACTCTTAAGTCCCTTATCTTTTTAAACTAAACCACAATCCTCTTCTTTTGGTATGGTTAACTGGATAAGGAACTAAAGTAAAATTAGGATGTGGGTCAAACTTATACATGTATACATATTACATTTACTGCATTCTACAACAATATCTTTTTAGTAACAAATGTATACCATTTATTTGAGGTTCACTCTTTTGAATTTGAAAATAACATTATAAAATTATTGCCACATAAGAATAAGTAGCACACAATTAGACTATGTTTCCATGAGTCCCTTGCAGCTAGATGTGGCCACCTGACTAAATTCAGACTAAAAAGAAAGAGGATGGGTGGGGCAAGAGTGATGGGGGTCAAATACGGGCCTGGTTCATAAAGACCTGCTATGCATGATCCTCTCTCTATTCAAATATAGTGACAAATTTTTGGTGTAGTTTTACTGGTATGCATATACACATATTTTGCAGAAATAAAAATATTCTGGATGAAATAGAGTTTATCTTCTAGGCCTAACAATCCTAAAGTATAATACTTAATTGATATTAAAACTACTTGTAGTTTTGAATATTTTATTTTCTTCAAAAAATCAGCCTATAAGTGACACATTATTGCAAATATCATCTTCACTTTTTTCATTTTGAATTCTTTTGGGAAAAAACAGACAACCAAAGGCAATCACCAAATTCTTCACAAATATATTCTTTTATTGGAGTTCAAATGCATATAAATTAAATGTCTTGCTAAAAGACCAGCCTACAAATCACCTGAACTCTAAGTATCTAGGCAAATATTTTGAAATTTGTGTTGAATGTATAAATAAAATTAAATAACCAAAGCTCCAGAGTTTATGATGGTATCTTTGTTACCAGCTAGCAAGGCAACTTGAACCAGAGCTTTCTGCTGGACATGATTCTAACATGGACACCTTCTTTGGAGAGGAAATCATGTTGTATGTTCCAGTATGAATTTCCTATTTGTACAGGACAGTGGGAGCCAACATTCAGGACTTTATCCTTGCTAGAATGTCCAGTCCAACTTGTTGATTTTGGGTGGTTATAATGGCAAAAGTCATAGTCTGTCACTGTGGGTGATTTGTTATTGGCACTTTAATATCATGTAATTCATTTTCCTACTCCAGTGTCATAGATCTACTCTCATTATGTTCTATTTCCTTCTTGGACATGATTAATCCTTACAATTCTATAAACAAAATAATAATAATATGGTAAAATGACAGGCTGTTCATGATAGTTTAACAGCAAGTTCTTATTTTTATAAACCAATATGATATATGAATTTATTCTTTTAGGTACTAGTATAAAACAATAAAAAGTAAATCTGAGTATTTGGTACAATGAACATAGACTAAGCAAGTTTAAAAGATAAATGAAAGTATTTGTCTCTACTTTTGAAAAATATCAAAATTTTGTTTTTCAAAAATCACTTTTTAGTAATGAACATTTGTTATAAAAGAAGAAATGATAATTTTTAGAATTCCTATGATAAGCTTAAAGAAGTAATTCAATGATACTAAAAAAATTAAACCAATCTATATATAAATGTTTTCTGAACTGTCTATCTTTTCTTTAAGTATCTATGACAATGAATATTTCTATTTTTTAAAAAGCAAAAATTTTTAATTTTTAAATCCTAAATTTCCTTCGGTAGATGTCCTAACACTTTTGACTGGTAGTACTTCTTGATATAAAACCTCTGAAACATCCCTTGTATTTGTTCCCCATTGATTCAGAATTTAGAATTACTCAACTTTCTAAAGAAAGTCCTGCCTATTTATAATTTGCGAGAAAAGAGTACAGGGGACATGTTGAATCTACTAAAAATTAAAAAAAAATTAAGATTCTATCCATTTCAGAGAGAAACTTCTGTAAGAAACTTCTGTTTTGGCTCCGCTTTTCAGAGTTAATTCCTGATTTAAAAATATATAGTTGACTTTTTGACTTGGAATATATGTTTTTATACCACAGTTCTCAAGTTTATCTAAAATCTTCAAATTTATTATTTGAATACAAAGCTAAATGTATACTCAACTGGAAAACCTGAATAAAGAAAGCCAGATGTAGAATATTAATCTTTTCGAGTCCTTAAATATTGCAAATACCTTCCGGGTCTTGGTATAGATCTTGTATAAAATTTCTTATAGGAACATTTTAATGCTATTTTCATCTTTTTTTACACTTAGAAGGGTAGAATGACAGCCTATTTTTTCTCGGGAATGCAGAACACATTTTTAAACTGTGTTTTCCCAATTTTTAATGCACTAAGTGTTCATATCAGAGCACATTAACGTATATTCAAAAAAACTACTATCTCCAAATTAGTATGTTTTGAACCACATGACTATTTCACTTGCTAAAAAAATAGTGGAAAACAACTGAAGGGCAATAATAATCATCCTACTTCTCATTTCTGCTGCCCGTTGCGATTTGAGTAAGTGGAAATTCATGTCCAGGAACCATTCTAATCATTTCACATGCAGGAGCATCAATAGTACACACATGAACACCCAATAATTTAATATTGTACTGTTATAAAGGACAATGTCCCATTAATATTCCTATTCCCTATAGGCACTTGAAATAATTTGGTTCTCAAAAGTATTCTCCATAGTAGATTCGGTTTCCACAGTACAGTAACAGAAAAAAACAATCCTTTAAAGAGAAAGAAAAACAAGTGTTAAATTCCAATTACCATTTTCATCATGACCACTGGCTTCTGGTGTGCCCTGCCTCTGGTCCTCTTCAGGTGCCTCAGGATAAATGACAGCAGTGTCTTGTTGTTGCAGGAACTCTTCAACATTAGGATCATGGTTTTGCTCATTTTCTGCATCTGAGTCGCAGTCATCATCTTTTACTAAAGGAAATGCATTCTTAAGCAATTTTATCACCAAGTTGTGAAGTTTTTTTTAAATAGAAATTGTTTGAGAATACAATCATTCCTGAGATTAAGTATTTACTGAAAACTAAAAATAAATTCTATTTTTTTTGTAATTAAAAAATCCTTTTGCTTTATATATTTCAAGTGTCAAAATATCTCAAATTCTCACACTATTCCTTTTAAGCTTTAGAGCTACACTTCTAATAAACTAATTTATTAATTTTATTAATTTTACTAATAAACAAAACATAGATAAGGTAATATAGTTAACTGAATTCTTTATTTCTCATTTAATGATAAAGCAAGGAAAAAAGAAGACCTTAGTTCTCAAAAATCACCTCTTAGTAACCTATTATAATAGTTATACTTCAAATCTGAATCATTCCAATATAAATCACTCTTTCAGTTCAGCTATGCAATTTCCTAGAAAATAGCTTTAGTATTAATCTTTAGCTAGAAAGACTTCTAATAAGAGTCACAGGTATCAAATCAATAAGAATTGCTTTTTACCTCCTCCAACAGTCCTATTCAAACAAGCCTATTCTTTCTCTATTTCTGCTTAAATAAATATTAAGCCATGGGATTAAGGTATGGCAATTTTTTTCTTGAGCGTAAAAGCTTTAAGTTCCCGTTGAGAACTTAGCTTAGAGTGCTGCCTACTTTTTAAAACAGTATTGGTGTACTACAGTTTTCCTCCATTTCCTCCACTGGCTCTAGGTGAGATTGTCTACTCCACACTGGTGATAACTATAATGGGTTAGCACGAATCTCAAGTGTCTCATGGCTGACTTCTTTATAGACTTTGGACTAAACTGTTAGTTTGTAGCAGACTAAAACTGGGCCAAATTAAAATGGTGATACATGGACATTTTTTGTTTGACAGTTACTGAAATAATTCTTGCTAAATCTCTTAAACAGTAGTATAAGTGAACTCCTCATGATGACTTCTATTTTAAACCTGAGAATCAATGACATAGTTATAATAGTGATTCACAAATAGTTTCACCATTATAATACAGCCAATAGGCTATTAATTATTTAGCATCTGGTAGAAATTGAAAAGTGTATTATTTAATTCATGCCAGTAATCACCAAACTGGGTTTAATGGAGCCAAAAATAAGTGAAGATTTTTTTCTGGGGTTGAGGGGACTGGGGATTGAACTCAGGGGCACTTAACTACTGAGCCACATCCCTACTTTGTATCTTATTTAGAGACAGGGTCTCACTGAGTTGCTTAGGGCCTCACTTTTGCTGAATCTGTCTTTGAACTTGAGATCCTCCTGCCTCAGCCTTCCAAGCTGCTGGGATTACAGGCATGTGCCTCCTCACAAGTGGAGACTTTTTAAGAGTTAAGCTGATACAGTTGATTTTGAGGAAATCAATTCCTAGATCCTCAACTTCCATGTATACTCTTATCCTGAAGGTTCTCTGCCTGCCCTCCCTTTTCTACAGTATTCTTTACTCTCGTGTTCTTGAGAGAGAGAGAGAGAGAGAGAGAGAGAGAGAGAGAGAGAGAGAGAGAGAGACACATATTATTCTCTCCAATTATTACATTAATAGGGTACATTGCCTTGCAGTATAAAAATCTCTATGGTGCCAAAGACAAAAGTTCAAAATAATGATTGGGGAAAACCTTCATTACTGATTAATTAAAACAATATAAAACCACTCTTTCCTGTTTACATGTGTTTCTTTTTTTATGTTCTAGATAGGACTTTATACCTCTGATATAAAGAGGCTGGTATATGGGTTTTTATTAGGTGCAAAGCATGGCAATGGAATTAGGAGTTGTTTAACCCTGATTGGGAAGTTGTTATCAACTATGTAATAGTATAGAGGAAATAATCACAGGGGTTGTACTCCTAAGTATTACTAAATTGTTCACTCTTCTTAAGAGACTGACAGGAACAAAGTGATGATATTCTCAAACATCATTCCTGTGATCTGTTGTTAGCTGGGAGAAAAGTATTTTTGAATAGCCAAAGTAGTACTTGTCAGAGGCAGAGTGTTTTCAATGCAATTTCAATTTTTTCCAAATTAGATAAAAGGTCAGAATGAAATTTATATTTTATGTGATTCCTCATAGATGCCATACAGTTAGACTTAAGACTTAAAGCTATTCTTATCAAACTGTTACAATTTTTTTTTCAATTTAGCAATCTACATCTTATAAAATGTTAATATTTTCAACATCATTTTAACAAAAATTACATATATACTAGCTCTTAGGTTAATGAGTTTATAAATACCACAGATTTTTCAGAATTATATGTCTGTATTTTATAAATGAATTTTATTTCTTCAGTAAGTTACATATAAGCTTACCTGTATATTGACATGTTCTAAATGTGTGCATTTGAAGAGACATAAGATTTTTACAACTGATAAAAATTAGATTAGATTATACCATATTAATCTTAACTTCATTATAGAATGACATATTTTATAAGATGTATTTATTATTTACACTTTACATATTCTTTTATTATTTATAATTTATATTCCTCAATCATTTCTTTATTGAAGAATTGGAAAAATTATAACATCCTTTATTTTTTTTCTTATCATTTGACGACTGGCATGACAGTGAGAATTGGTTTTTCTAGTTAGGTTAGTAGGTGAAAATTTCCCAGAAATTGGGTAAACTAAGGTATTGATCAAAAGAGAGTTACTACATGTCTTCAGATAGAATTTAAAAAATTATTTTAGCAAAAATTTACTGAAGTTAACCATATTTCAATGTCCCCAGTGGGGAAAAAAAGTGCTCTCACTGAGAAAGATAAGTAAAGCAAGGTCCCAAAAAAAGTATAATTTCAAGTAATTTGATAAACAAGTATTGACAGAGCCTATCTGTTATATGTCCCAGAACATAAAAGATTCTAATGACTGGGAAACAAATCTCTTTGCAAATTAGGTGGCTTTGATTGTTTCTTCTCAACAAAATTAAAGGGGTACTTAACTTAATTGTTAGTGATAGGATATTAAAACATTTTTATTGAAAAAACACAACTTTTGGCATATAATTATGAAGCTGTATAAAGAACTGAGTAAGTTATAAGACTTTTATTTATTTATTTTTTATTTGGGAATAAAGTTATCTCAGTGCCTAACAAAAAACAGAAACAGAATTAATGCTGAATACTTTCCCTTTTAGAAGTAATAGTAATATAGTATATGAAGTAAATAGAAAATCTTTAGCTCATTAACCTCATTTTAATAATATCTAACAATTATTTATTAAAATGTGTAATATATTTATGTTGTGATCATTTAGGAACTATTAATAAATGATAAATCCATAATATTTTAAAACTTTAATATTCCTGTGGTCCCCGAATATTAAAAAGAAATTTCAATTTAAATATGTGCCTTTCTTTTAAAGAAATTGATAGTTGATAAAAAGTTCCTGCAAACAGGAAATATATATCACATTAGCATAAATTCTGTAGGGTAGATGGAAGGCAAATATGAGTTCAAGGAGTAAACATTATGATATAATATTTCTGACTCTTAAAGAGTTTATTCATTTATAAAAAAATGACTGATAGTAGTTATTAAATTGTTATATATTTCACATGTAAGAATGATGTTAAAAAGTCAATGTTTTTAATATGCTAGAAATTGTTTGCCTACTACTTACATTTAAAAGAAAATTATATGCTCATTAAGAAATTTGTGAGCTATATATAATTGTTTACATACTATAAAATTTAGATGATAATAACAATAAAACTTAGTGTTGTTATGAGAATTAAATTAATATAGCAACATGCTTATTAGTACTGTACCCAGTATGTAGTTAAGTGCTACAATTTTTAGCTGTTTTCCTTAAAGCATTATAATTTCAAAATTAAAAACTGTTTTCTAACCCTCATCTGTTTCTCAATAAAACAAATGAGAGTTAGAATAACAAGTTAGACAGCTTTTCCAAGATCATGTAGGAAAAAAATATTACCATCAGAACACATGCTTTAATATTAGATGTATGACATCAAATTCTGGAGTCTTTCCATTAAACAACACTGTCTCTATGAATCTGCATTACCAAGCCCAATTTCAATGGAAACCAGAAATTCTGCAGTTTTACCTAAGAAATTTAAAGATTTGGCAGAGCACATCATGAAAAGGTCAATTACAAAGCAAATTTACTGGTCTTTAAGATTGATAAACCTAAGTATTTAAAGATTAGGAAGATGAGCAAATACACAGAGATACATAATAATAATAAAATAAGTAAAAATTCAAGAGCTAATCATCAAAGTATAGGATTACAGAACTATATTCACCTGTGAAAGTATAAAATTATAGAGTATAATTACAAATTAGAGAAAGAGAATGTTTAACATAAATATAAATTTTTTTTCTCTCTCTCCTCCTCCCTCCCTCCCTCCCTCCCTCTCTCCCCAGGTACAATTTTTATTCTCAGTAACCTGCCATCTTTACCCTCTGTTTTTAAAACTTTATAAAACTGTTAACTATAGGAACAACAACAACAAAAAAAAATGGATGCTTGGAAGAAGCAAACATGTTTTTGGTGAATATTTCACTCTTAAGTTGAATCAACAATTCTCTTAATTTCTTCAACAGTGAAAGTAAGCAAGCTATACAAAAGATCTGACAAAGTTCTGAACTAGTGATAGTGACATACATACAATGTTTTTGTCAGCATGTTATTCATTAGTAGTCAAGGAAGTAACAAAGCAAAGACAAAATATAATGTTAAAGTTCAACTGCTCTAAAGTCTCAAAAGTTCAATTTTCATCCCTTGTTCCTTAAAGCCACACTTATTGGAACTTTATTAAATATTTTCTTGCTCCTAAATCTTCCCCAGGTTCCAGGGAAATAGGCAACAGGGATCAACTTCTTGTGGGTGGGGGAGGCCTGACACTTCAGCAGCAAGTAGTTAATACAAGGTCACTCTGTCTTCCAGATGTGGATTTCTTTTTTATTTTTTTAGGAAATTTATGTATTACTC